ATGCTGCTATCTATTTCTCAAACAGAAGCAGCAAGGAATTTGGCATTTCACTAGATTAGGTAGCACAAATAAAAACCTTGATTCCCTAGACAGAAACCAACTTTGTAAAAATTTCCACAGCTACTGCTTTTTTTGTGGTTTATTATAACACAGTCAGAGAGTATCCCAAACTTTGGGGCTAAGAATCTGCCATCAACACTCTGGGAATTCTCATGTTACAAGGAAGGTAGAAGAGCACGGAAGAGTCAGAACAAGCCAACAGTAACGTGTATCAGGCAAAAACTGGCAATTAATCTTAGGGTTTTAAAAATGCTAAGACATTATTACAATAAGCAGAAAATTCCTTTTCCCTGTCTGTATCAAAGTGACTTCATGTGACTCTTACATTGTTCCCTCAGGTATTCAGCAAACAAAATCAATATGATGGAAAATCTGAGTGAGGCAGGATGGGATTACAAATTCCTTGCTCAAGGAGGGCGGATAAAGTAGACCGAGACTTAGTTTCATTATTTATTATCTCTCATAGCTCCTTTGATAAAATATTAAGAGTCTGAATATAGTTTGCCAGAATGAGAACTTTCTAACTCAATGTATTTTTAAGAGCCCCCTAAAAGAGTTACTGAGTATCCTTCACTCAATTTAGAATCAAATATAAAACAGGGCAATTTTCTTAAGAAACTGATTTTACAGTGTATGTATAGATAATATTCCCTCTACCTTTGGTGAAGTTTTCTTAGTTCTTACCACAACAGAAAGCAATCATTAATTGTAACTACTGAAAGGTTAAAATGCCATTTTACCACATATTTTTTTAAAATTTCAGACAGTAAGGAATGATATCAATCCCTAATATCATAAATCCATTACATTTTCTAAGGAGGGTCTCTGAAAGGATATTTTGATCAAATTACAAATAATCAACAGTTGTACTATATCATGTCACACAATTTAAAAATCTCTATTAAGAAGTTTCAGTTTTCAAAACCTGAAATATGCTTTTAAAAAAATAAAATTCACTGCTAGGCTTCCTAGTTTCAAATTAAACTCAGAAATCACCAGAGTTGAACCAGCTGTTGTAAGATAATTTTATTCCAGCCATAATTCAATTTCTCTCTGATAAAATGGATCCAACAGTCACTAACTGTAGTTAACTATAACATAATGCTTCATAATTTATTTCAATGCAAAGAGGATAAAACAAAAGTAGTTTCTGCACATCTGCATTTACCCTGTATTTTTCCATCCAAAGGCAGAAGTGAAATGGCCACTCCCCTAGAAAGGCCGAAATAATTTCAGAATACATGTAAGTCTTGGGACACAAAGCAGCATTGTTGTTGTTTTGTGCCGTGGAGACGCGACTCATAGGGATCCCTCCTTGGGTTTCCAAGGCAGTATCACTACAGAAGTAGATCACCCAACTTTCCTTCCTAGGAGTGGCTGGTGGGTTTGAACTGCCAGCCTTCTGGTCTAACCAGACCAGTGCCTTAGGCACTACGCTACCAAAGCAGCATTAGAAATGTAAAAATTTTCAAGCATACTGGTTAAATAAATCCTTCCATGAAAAGAGACTTTATAATCCTTCAGAAAATTATTATATCAAGACTACAAGTTCTAAACAAGTGAAAAAGCGATTACTTATAAGATAACTTTCATATTACGTAGTAATTTAAACTAAAATCATTTATATCTATAAAATGTGTCAAACAGTATGAGTGAAAGCATATTTATCTGACATGGCATGTTATAAATTTGGTAATAAGAATTAGACCATCTAAAATACTCTCCATTGAACGTTCTGTTTCATTGGTCTGCTGTACAATGGAAAGACAATGCAAGCCACATTTGTGAATGGCAAAATTCATTTTCATTCCTTTTGTGGTTCCCTGCCACAAATGTCAGTCATACTACACATCATAGACATTTGTGGGATTGTAGTTCATTTACATAAAACTGAACAAATAAAAATTCTGGGATAAAAAGTGTAAGATGCATGAATGGGGGGGAGGTGAGAACTCAACATATGGGCATCTGTTAAGTACTGCATGTAATTGGTGATATGTTGGGTGATGGTTCTCTTCCAGGTACTTCCACACTCAACAGACTGCTCTGCTTAATCAGACATCTTTCTATGTCGAGGAATGGGGGAGCAGAGACCACATAAAGGGCTCACAAGCTGTCTTCTCGAGTATCCTGTACTAGACTTACTTGCTCTCTGAATACTCCTTCTGATCTGTTCTATATTTCAGATTGATCATGGCAAAAGATACATCTTTGTGATGCCAAAAGACTATATCCAACACAAATATAATGAGTCAATTTTATAGGTCAAAATTCCAAAGAAATTATGTAAACTGAAGAAATTTATTACTAATACAGAAATGAAGAAGAAAATATCTTTGAGATTTATATTTAGAAATCACTCTGAAAAGGGCAATTCTCTTTAGAGTTAAATCCTTCAAGGTTCTAAGTTTAGTAAAATGTGTAGTGAAACGTCTATTCAATAGGTAAATAAGACCTAACCAATGGAAGGAAGGAGAAACACAAACAAGAATAAAATCTGACTGGTTAAAGAAAGGCAGACGAAAACATGTCAGTTGCAGGAAAAAAAGCCGACTTTCCCCCCATCTAGTTCTGAGGAAGATTCTTAAATTCTTATTATTTTGGTTTTAAATGGACTCAAAATTAAACACTATCAGAACTTTCAGTCTTATTCAAGTACAAGTCCCCAGATAAAAAAAACAAAAATCTGCCAAAAAACCAAAAACCAAACAAAAAAGTCTTTAACTACAATTGCATTTTCTGATGCTGATACCCATACATGAGTAGAAGGTATGAATTGCTAATTCCCATCTCCCACCGATAAAATGCAAACCGGCTCAGGGGTGAAAATTCTTCAGAAAGCAAGGCTGCTTCTTAATCTTGAAGCAGCCATTGCCTAAGTGCAGCTCCCTGCAGCCAACAGCATTAATGGACGCTGCACTGCTGTCCTTCCCTGGAGACAGCAGCCAGCACTACTCAAGCTTCTCACGTAGCAACCAGAGCTCCAGAGCCAGCAGCTGCCGCTGCCTTGTATACTCACCCCTGTGATCCAACCCAAAGGAACAACCCTCTCCTTACCCACCCCCACCCTTTACACATTCTTTTTTTTTTTTTTTTTTGACCAGTGCTCAATGCCAGATAGGCTGGAATTCCGCTCTTAGAAACCCTAAGGTCATCCTTTTAGTTTTAAATTAAGGTCCTTTATTACAAAAACCAACATTTACTAAATTCCAAATACTCATTTTAATTCAGAAATTTAAGAACTAAGATTAAGCTTTAGTCTTTAGAAGGTCAATTTTCCAAGCACTCCACAGTTGAATTTTAATTTGCTGATAGAGACAGAGCCTTGTGTCACATCCTACCAAAGGACACAATTCATTTTTCTACACATAATGACAGTATGAGTAAACCTTAAACACTCTAATCCCATAACGGGCCAGAATTTTTGGCTATGGAAGAAAACTAATGATCCTCCTGAGAAAACTGGAACAAATCCAATAAAAAAATTTGTGTCTGCCAAGAGGCCCAGAAACCTTTGATTACGAGTATTCTCAGCTTTAGTCCTAACTCAGATTCCATACATCTAAAATTACCACTGATAACTTTCCTCTCAGTGACCTAAAAACATTAGCAATGTAAAATTATCAAAAATATATATATTTTCCAAATAAGGAGCACAAAAACATTCTCCTGAAAAGCCATAATTCTAAAGTTAGCTGGCTCCTGCCCATCCAAAAGTATAGCTATGTAACATCTGCCCAACAAAGAAATATACATATGACCTGGTCACAAATATGTCCTTAAAAACAACTTGTATAGTCAAGTAATGAAGGAAATCAACAAAGAACCTGGATTCTTCCAGTACTATGAGCACAAGGAAAATTGGAGAAATTAAACTTAAGTTCAGACAAAGCCCAATGGAACCCAGAGCTATGGGCAAGAAATGAGTTACTGGTGAACACATTGCACAAGTAACATGAGAAAGCAGAAAATGCAGGTCACACACTCACTCCTGTCCCAGACCAGCAGAGCTGGCTGCAGCATCAGTACCCAAAGTAAAGACTACTTATATTCTTAAGAAATGAGAAGCAAAGGAGCTTTAAACTAAACTAGCAGAGAAGGGGCTTTCCCAACAGTTAAACTTTGCCTCTCATGCGATTCACCTATTTAAACCAGAGCTTTTTTTCTACCACCATTCACTTCACATCCCTGGCTTCCACGCAGAGGGAAAGGGAATTCATAAAGAGTCAATTCTTCTGCCTTTAAAGACCTTCTCAAATGATCGCACTCCACGCCCAAGGCAGGAAAAACGACACAATCTGGCTCAACTCCAGGCTCGAACCCTACAAATTCAATGGGGCTGTATCAAAGACACTGGGGAATACGCCACTCGGAGCCCAAGAATGTGAGGTGGGGGTGGCAAAGGTAATGTCTTCAGTGTGGGAAAGGAAGCAGCCATCTGAGATGGGAATCTGAAAACGAGGGGGGAGGCGTCCAGAACACTATGAAGGGGAGATCGAAGCCCCAGAGTGATCAGAGTTGTCACAAGGCCGCGAAAACGAGTATAGGGAGGCTAGAAAAGGGGGGAAAAAGTATGTCTGTGTATTTTGCAAGGAGGGCAGCGAGAGGCCTATACTCATTAAAGATAAACGTGGAGTAGGCAGTTCTCGGGAAAAGGAGTCAAGAGGCGTGGGGGGAGGGGAAGCGTCCTGACCCAGGAAAGACATGGAAAGGGTAGTGGAGTCGAATAGATTACAGGCGGATCTCTTCCTAGAAAACAGGGGTGCAATGGAGTATGTGGGCGACGAGGGAGATGCGAAGGGGCAGCATCCTCCTGTAAAAAGCCAAGGGAGGGCCACGGCCACATCCCGAAGTAAGCAAGCGGAGACGGGGGAGGTGACCCTTTCCTCCCCTGAGACCCAGACGTTAGCATAGGTCTCTCTTTTCTACCAGACCCTTACCTTGTCCCAGGCGCTGCCGGGGCCTGGGCCCGGGCTGCGGCGCACGGCACTCACGAGAGGCAGCAGGACTCGAGTTAGGCCCAACGCGGCGCCACGGCGTTTCCTGGCCGGGAATGGCCCGTGCCCGTGAGATGGGGGTGGGGGGCAGAAAGGCGGAGCGAGCCAAAGGCGGGGAGGGGGGAGGGCCAAAGGAGGAGGGAAGGACAGCACTACTGTGTTGGCGGACTGGCGGGACTGGGGCTGCGTGAGTCTCTCAGCGCAGGCGGGCGGCGGCCGCCCCTCCCCCGGCGGCGGCGGCGGCGGCGGCTCACTCAGCCGCTGCCCGAGCGGAAACGCCACTGACCGCACGGGGATTCCCAGCGCCAGCGCCAGGGGCACCCGGACACGCCCCCTCCCACCGCGCCATTGGCCTCTCCGCCCACTGCCCCGTACCCATTGGCCAGCTCGCCGCCAATCAGCTGGAGCCGCCGGGCCGCTTGGAGAAGAGGCTGTGCTCTGGGGCTCAGGCTCCTCAGAGAGCCTCGGCTAGGTAGGGGAGCGGAACTCTGGTTGGAGGGAGGTCTGGTGGATTGGGGGGATGGGGTGGCTGAGGTGGACATTCTGATACTGGGGGATCCCCTATCTCCCGCGGGAAGCTGGGAGTGTAACGTTTGTTAAACTGGCAGGGAAAGAGACGGTCGGACGCAGAAGGGAGGGCGGCCCGCCCTGCGGCAATCAGAGGGGGAGGGAGAAGAGAGCTGAAAAAGCACGAAACCGGACGGAGCCATTGCTCCCGCGGAGGGAGGAGTGCTTCCGGCTTGCCTCTTGTCGCTGATTGGCCACTTGTCCTCCCGCCGTGTGTGAAAACACAAATGGCGTGTTTTGGTTGGCGTACAGCTCCTGTCAATTACAGCGTCGGGAGAGCACAGTCGCCTAGGGATTCTCGCGTTGCTCCCTGGGTGAGGTGGGTAGGTAGGTGGGGGTGAAGGGAGAGTTGGACGTGCGTACGCTGTAGGCCTACCTCAGGGCTGGGGGAGGGGAGGGTCAGTGAAAGTGGCTCCCGCGCGCGCGTCCTCTCACCCTCCCCTTCCTCTGGGGGCGTCGGTTTACCCGCCGCGTGCCCGCTTTCGGCACTTGATTGGCTGCTGAAACCCGGAGAACGGCCCTTTGCTATTGGCTGGGATCCCAAATGAGCGAAACTATTGCACGGCGCGGCGGGGGTGGCGTGGAGGCGGTCATTGGTACGATCCTCCCCGAGGCCCAGCGCCGCAGTGTCTGGCCCGACGCCCCTGCGCAACGTGGCAGGAAGCGCGCGCTAGGGGCGGAGGCAGGCTGCCTGGCGGAGGCTTCTGGGTGGCGGAGACCTTGGCTCCGCCCGGGGTGCCCGCCGCCTGAAGGACGAGACGAGGCGGACCTACTCCTGGGACCCATGAAGGTGGGGGAGGGAGCTGGGGTCGGTTTGGCTGGTTTGCGTTGCGGGGTGGGTGGGCGGCTCAGGTTCTTCCAAAAGTAAGCGCGAGCTGCAATCCTGCAGGAGCTGCAGTGCAAGAGGCGGAGAGAAGGCCGCACCCTCCTCGGCAGGGGGAGGGGAGTGCCGCAATACCTTTATGGGAGTTTTCTCCTACTTCCTGTCTTCTAAGGACCGCCCTGGGCCTAGAAAAATCCCTCCCTCCCTGTGATCTCATCGCCTCCATGTCGAGGTGCTTCTTTTCGATTGTGGGCTGTGTTAGCGTAGATTCAAAATAGAGGCGTTCTGAGTAGGCTGTTAATGAAGGGTTAACAAGCCATTCTTAGGCGAACGAGGGAAGGGACATAGAAGATGTGTTAGGAAAATATTGTACAAAGAACGTTCCAGGGAGCGTGTAAATGAAAATGTTCTGGATAATTGCGGGAATATTTGTCGGAAAATAAGCAATATGAAGAAGTTTTTTCTAACTTTTTACAGATCTCTAATTTATTATTTTAATACTTTTTGTGAAGTTTGCACAGCAATTTGGGGTTCCATTTGACAGTTTTCACACAAACTGTTCAGTGACATTAATTACATTTATTATAATATGTCAACAGTGTTGTTTATTCCCTTTCCAGTACTCTGGTTTCTCTTCTCATCTTTGCTTTTGAGAAATTGTTGACCTTTGTCATTGGTTTTTAATTGGGGCACCAGTCTTAGGGGTAATATCCTTTGTGTTCTACTGTGCTATTTAGCGAAAAGATGATCTTGGGATAAGCTCAGTTCTAGGTTACAAGAGTGACTAAGGGCTATAGACCCGGTGTCTTCTGTTCTCTGGTGTTCCGGTTTGCTTGTTTTTTTTTTTTTTTTTAATTTGCGTTCTCCATATTTTTCTCCTATCCAGGACCAACTGTTTTGTTGCTGGTCAGGATGGTAGCTGGATACTATCTTCTACTTCTGGCTTCAGGTTAGATGAGATTGTGCCTCTTGTGGACTTGATTCTTCTCTGTGCTTTTGGTTACCTTATTACTATTTTGCTCATGACGAGTTGGAGACCTGTAGTAGTATCTTAAATGACCCCTCACAAGCTGTTAAGACCCCAGATGCTAATTACTTAATTAGGATGCAGATCATTATTTTTGAAAACTATTTGTTTCCAGTTGACTAACTTGTCCCATGAGATTTTGGTCTTAAACCTTCAGATCTGGGTGTTTGGTCATGTGAGAGGAGTATCCATGTTTGTGTCTTCAGTGAATATGTATACATATACTTGTATTTACACATACTTATAGATACTTCTGTCTGTTTTCAACTATATATGAAACTATACTTAACCATATTTAGTTTGCCTATACCCATCCATATGTGCTCACAGCTTCTTATTTTAGTAGTGCTGTACTCACTACATCCACATTGGTGCCTTTGTTCTAGCACCAGAAATAAATAGTCTCAATAAAACTACTTTTCCCCTCACCCACCTCTCCCTGGTAGCCACCAATGAATATTGGTTTCTATATATTTATTATGTATTGTGTATCTGTGGTTTAGATATCTATTATGTATCTATTGTCTTATGAAAGAGGGATCATATAATATTTATCCTTATATGCTTGACTTATTTAACCTCCAGGTCAGTCCACATTATGTTTCTAGACTCATAATTCTTTTTTATGGTTGCATAGTGTTCCCTTGTATATATGTACCATGGTTTGCTTATCCAGTCATCCTCCATTGGTGGACACTTTGGATATTTCCATTTATTGCTATTGTGAATAAGGCAGGACTGAGCATAGGTGTGCATATGTCTGTTCGTGTCATTATTTTTAGGTCTGACCCACCAGCCACTCCTCGGAAGGAAGGTTGGGCAATCCTACTTCCGTAGTGATACTGCCTCGGAAACCCAAGGAGGGGTCGCTATGA